GCAGTCGCAGAATTACTGCACACACACCTTTACGATTAGTTCTATAAGGTTCAAAGTCCCACGCTTACTTGCTTCACTCAGCTTACAAACATCCTATGTAGGTGCAGGCGTGCTCACCACACTTTCCTCCTTACCTGCCATCGACGGGCGCGTGACAAACACCGCCATTCTTTTCTAACCCACCTCCTATGGATAAAGACATTTCCAAGTCCCACTAGAATAATTCTCTACGTATCGTCACTTATCTCAGAATAATTCTCTACGTATCGCCACTTATCTCAGAATACACTGTCAGAAGCAGACCATTCAGAACAGTGGGGTATATGGACTTTGAACTGTTACTACAAAGTAGCTAAGAGTACATGAGACTTTGGAGACAGTTTGTCTAGTTAGAATTAGGGTTAGAAATCTCAGAAAAGTCATTTTGTTGTGACTTATTTTATCTGTAAAGGAGGGAAAATAATAGGAACTGCTTCACAGAGTAAGGGAATAACCTTCTTAAATATATGTAAAAGCACAAACAATATTCAATGACTAGTAAATGCTCAATAAATGAGGTCGATATTTACATAACCATCCATGCATTCTCTTTTGATGAATTTTTAGGCATAATTTTTCATTTCATTAAAGTAGTATGTTTTTTTCTACTGCTGTATAAAATGCTTTGTTTATTGAGGAATATAGGGGGCATGAAGGTGAGGCACCTCATGCCCAACCTCTTTTTCTTTTCCATTTTAAAATATTTTCTTTTTTCCTTTTTTCTTTGAGACAAGGTCTCTCACAGGAAGAACTCTGAAAGATATCTGGCTAGCATGTCCCAGAAATCTGTCTGTCTCCAACTCTAAAAATGCTGAGAATATAAACATAACCCATCACAACTGGCCTTTTTTCCTTTTTTCTAACATAAGTTTTAGAAATCAAACTCAGAGCCTCAGACTTAAACAGTAAGCACTCTACTGCCTGAGCTAATTCCCTGACCTGATAATAAAGTTCTCATAAATTATAATGCTTATTACACAGTCTATAAATGTTTTCTCCAAATATGAAAAAAACTGAATCTTTATGGTTTATTTTATGTAGCACAACATTTAGTTCAGATATAATCAAGGTGTTTTTTCCTTATTGCTGTTATGTTTTGTTTTATGGGTTTTACACTGTTGCTTTTTTAAAAAAACATTTTTTTTCATTTTTAATTAACGTGGAATCTAATTTATGCCTCAAGTAAGATAGGGGGCGTGGCCATTTTTTTCAAGTCAAAGGTAGTGTGCTGTGTGTAAGTCTTCTCCCCACTGATCTGAAATGCCATCTGTAACCCAAACCTAGTATCACACAGATAGCAACCTCTTTATGTACCACCAAATCAGTCTGAATAATCACATTCTATACTTGTACCAATACTGCCTTGTAAGTAGCTTTAGAATACATTTACCGTCTAGTAAAGAGGATCTCTTTGTCCTGTTCTTCCTCAGTATTAGTTAAGCCATTCTTGAAATTTTTCTCTATATAAAGTTTAAAATACATCTTGAACCACATGAAAAATTACTATTTTATATTTAGTAACTATTTTAGACAGTGTTAATACTGTATGATAGCTAACATTATTACTCAATATCTACTTATATTTTATTATAGCCAAAGTAAATTTTGGAGCTTTTTCCACAATACATATTTTCTATTATATTATGTTTTACTTGTACTATGAATGGTATCAGGTTGCATATTCTACATGATTAGTACCAAAGATTACAATATCTGTTTTTCAAATGTCTTTCTTTTGATGACAGTCTCACCATGCTGCTGTTCAGATAGCCTCAAACTCATGACCTTGAACAATATATACACACAGCGCTTAAAAATCAAGCAAACAAAATACCCACTTGTGCATTTTGTTTTGGCTTTTTTTTGTATCTTGCTGGGAGTTGTTTGTTTTGAATTTTGGGGATGTTATATTTTTAGAGAGAAAGAACAAGAAATTGGGTGGGTAAGAAGGTGGGGAGAATCTGGACGAAGGTGGGAGAAGTTGGGAAAAAGGAAAGAATATAATCAATATAGAAGGCATATGAAACTTTTTAAACAAAAATTTCAATCAAGCAGAACTACATGATAATGTGAAAACACTCCCTGTAGTTTCTCTGTTCATCACTCCAGAGGGACCAAACGCATTGACCTGTGTGCTTTAACTATTCTAGTAGCTTTCCCCACATGCACTGTTAACACAGTGTCTGTTGACCTGCTGTTGTCTCTAGACCTCCTCTCCTCAGCCGGGTCACCTCACTACTTTTACTTTCTTTGTTAGCCCTTGTGACTGACATAATCCACTGTCTAAACCTCTAAGTTATTCACTCAGTAGGCAGGATTGTTTGTGTCCCAGTTTATGAGGTCAGGAGGACCACCACATATGTTTCCTTTTCCCTCTCCTCCCAATTACTGACTGTACTATATATTATCAAGGGTAAGAACATCTCCATCCTATTCTGTATTTACAATTAATTCTTTCTGTTTTTGCTAAGGATTGCCTCTAAATGCTGAAAATGAATATGACCGTGAGAATGGCTAGCATGTAAGCACTGCTCACTGACTAGCAGAGCTCTGTGCTATGATTCTATTCTCTCACCGAGCCCATCAAGTCTCCACCCATGTGGTAATGGAGGATCTCTCTCCTCACACCCCAGCAACATCATGCCACAGCTGACGACGTGCTGTTTTGTCAGGTTTTCCTGTACACTTTCCTGTTGTGAATCTCTCTCAGCTTTCTCCTCACTCTGCGATTTTAAATCCATGTCTCTGACCACAGCTCTACTCAGTCATTATGCTAACTTGCCTCCTATCTAGAACTATTACTCTTCAATTTACCTTTAAAGTTTTAGTTGCATTCTTTTCTTCCTTTAAAAAATACTTATTAATTTGTGTGTGTGTGTGTGTGTGTGTGTGTGTGTGTGTGTGTGTGTGTGTGT